ATGTTGCTCTTGGTTTAACTAAAATAGTTTATGCTAATTCTATTTATTCAGCTTGTTATTTATTTAAAAAATGTGGATCTGTTTAGGCTTTAAATCACTATTTGCTTTGAAATTTAAAAAAATTTAGTAAAAATTAAGGAATAAAATAGAAAGAAAAAAGGTCTGTTTGTATACATTGAATACTTTTATCTTAATTTGTAGCTGAAAATAATTTATGAAATAAATTGACAACTTCCATTATTTTATTGATCAAATAAGAGTAGTCGTTGATTTATTATAAATTATTTTGTCATCTCTAAATGTTACTATAACGTGTCAATTTAAAACTTTAGATTGGGTACTAAATATCAACGAATCTTTGTCAATTAGTTTAGACTACAACTGAAGTAGAACTTTTTGATATTTCTTTGTTTTATTTCATTTTCATACATATGACAGATATCGATAGTTGGTGAAGTATCAACGAAGATATGTCAACTCCGAATGGACAAAGGAGATATTGATGATTAGATAATATAAACTTCATGTAGAAACATACAATGAAGTACTGTTTGCTGAAAAATTAAATACTTTGATGGCAGAATATTGAGCTCAAGTTTTTCTTCACGATTTATTCTTTAAAGTGTGGGTGGTGTACCGACAGTGTGCATCATCTCATATATTTGAAAAACTATGTATGGTCAATAGTATGCACTGATGACAAGCTGAAATAGTTCTTCCCAATGCAGATACTGTAAAAATTTAAGCAGTGAAGCAAATAAATGAGGAATTGATGGTTTGAACGATCAATATGTTATGTCACTGGGTAAATGATATGTGTTGCTCTATAATGTTCATGGTGTTGGAGATTATTGAATTAATAATTATATTTTCGTTCTTAGTAAGCTGTTTATTATAACAATTGATGTATGCTTATGTTTTACCACTTAAACATAAACAATCTATTCATATTATATCAAAGAATGATGTAAGATCACAGTATATATGTGATTATCATTTATGCCTTTCGTTCCACTCATAAAGTTAGTAGCTGATGAAAAGCAAAAAAGGAAACACAATTCATGTTGTACATAATCAAAACATGATGATCAACTTAGCCCCACCTTCTCTCGTCATGAGTCTGAATTAAAATCACATTAATTTTTTGGCAGGAGCTATTGTATTACAAAAAAAAGGAATACCCTTGCTAAAAACAACAAGCGTATGTATTGATTGATTGATTGATTGATCGATCGTTTTTCTTATTCATCATTTATATCTTAAGGAAATGTAGACTTTTCTCTTCTCTTTCTCTCTATTACGAAATTCAACTAATCAACTGAATACATTTCAACTAATGAGTATGAATTAAAATAATTGTACACTACTGCGTGATGAATGAACGAAAACAAGTGTGAATCTTTTGTTTAATAAATGTCAATGGTTAATTTTCTTTCACCTGTATTATTTACAGATTATAACAGATTATTATCTTTCTTTTCTTACTTCAAAATAATATTTGAGAAAGTTAACTGGTAGTATCGAATTTTAAGTCACAGTTTTAAGTCTAGGCTTATTTCTTCTTAAAAACAACATTAGTGGTTTACATTCAAAACATATACAAAATACGCGCTATCAAAAGATATCACTAAAAAATGTCTGGTAAAATGTAAAATCTTAGTCTTGTATCTTCTTCCAACAGATTTCTTTTTCGATACTATACGCAACATATACACATTGTAAGAAATTGTGTTCTTTGTGTTTTCAAATAACTGTTGGAAGAACTATTTCAAGTCTTTTTTGGGGGATATTAAGAACCTGATTTTGTTTATCAACAAGAAACAACTTTTTCACTCATTTTACCTTTCCAGCTCATTTTAGTGATTCAGAAATTGCTTTTTCTAAAAAAAGTTGAGGAATTAATTTTCTTTTCAGTTCTTTGAAGACCTCGACGTTCGAAGAGAAAAAAGAAAATCATAGACGTCAATCACCATTTCTCAAAAACCTGTTTGTACACAAGAATGTACACACTTTTCGATCAACTTGTTCTTGACAATCGTAGATGGAACCGAATGAATCAGCATCCATTCAAAGACATGAATCAATCGATTCATCAACCGTTTGATTTGCAATGGATTTGTCAATGGAATACTGTAAATGTAGAGTGTAAGAAATAATTCAGCCATATGTAATCATAAGTATAGTACTGATTAAAAAAATCGAGCGTAGAGAACTAAAAACAAATTCTTTAAAAAATAATGATGAACAGAAAAGACTTTTCGTTGTGATGTTTTAACAAATGTCTCATATTGAGATCCCTAAAAATGAAAAGATTAATTTTACAAGTTTTCAGAAAACGCATACAAAAAGAGGAGGCATTTTGTGATGAAATCGGCCCGTTAACCGAATTCAGTTTTACTCATAGGGTAGATAATGCGAGTAGGTGAATCGAGCTGGGTATCTTTGAAACCTTAGAACTACTTCTCAAGAGAAATTTGCGCATCATATTTTATATAATTCGATAAAGAAGATTATGCGACACTTCTGAGTCTTGAGAAAACTATTTCTGAAAAACCGGGAGAAAACTATTCTCTAGAAAACCTATCCGCCTCACTATACTATTCAGAAATCTTTTAACCGTCACATTTCATGGTTCAGTTCTCTAGAAAATGAGATGGCATAGCCAAGTTTCTGCGATGCTGGACGACAGGATCACAGGCTTTGTAACGTTATTGGCATAAATTCATGGAGATATTTTACTTTTATGCTGAATTTTCGATCCGCATCGTATTTTCTACGGTATTTTTGATAAAACATGATAGAAACTTGGCTATGCCATCTCATTTTCTAGAGAACTGAACGGGCTATGTAATGGGACGGTTAAAAGCTTTCTGGATGATGTAGTGAGGCAGATAGGTTTTCTGGAAAGTCCGGTTTTTCAAAATCGTTGTCCCAAAACTTAGAATTGTTGCATAATTCTTCTTTGGCGAGTTTGATGCGCTCTTTCATATGAAACTAAGATCAAGGTTCTACATTAGGGAATGTGGTTATGAGATGTTTCACGAGTTAGGCCTAATCCACTAGAAAATGACAAAAAGTGCATATTTCCGCTAGGAGAGTAGAGTACCAATAAGTTTTTCTCAGTCACTTGAAGACTTGCGGGTTTCTCCATTCGATTCAGCCTGTCGAGCTCTACAAAATGAGGCAAGCCTTGTCGCTGGCACCTATGTCGATGCAATGGTGGTAGGTTTCATATGGATTGAATCAGATCCAATTCATTGAGGAAACGCTAATTTTCATCCGCTGCCTACACTATTACACTTTTTTTCAAATGTTTGTATGTTGGACGCTCGTAACGCTCTATCAGATGGTATAGTTAGTGTAGTGGTGTAAAGCAAAAAAATAACCATAATGTTGCAGCTATGAAGAACAGATCTCGCATCTTATATAGTAGTAAATGCTATTTCGATTTTTTTTCTGCTCAAATGCAATTAGTTTTCAATATGCTATATATAGAAATGTTGCCGAGGCAAGAACTTTCGAGTGGTATATATTAGGTGTGATTAACTGTGAAATGGAACGACAAAACATAGTAAATACGATTCCACTAGGTTTCGAGCCGAGAAAATATTCAAGTGATAAAATTTCTCTTGAGAAATAGTTCTAAGGTTTCGAAGATGCCCAGTTCGATTCACCTACTCACATTGTACCTACCCTATAAATAAAACTGAATTCGGTTAACGGGCCGATTTCATCACAAAATGGCCCTCCTCCTTTGTGACGGGGCCAAATAGAAAGCATATTTTTTGTTTTTGAAGAAACATTACTCCTTTACAGTATACAATTCGAATAAGGATATCATCGTGACTAACGCATAACAAAGATGAGTTTAAAGTAACTAACAGAAGTAACCGGTCAACGTAGGATATTTGACAGCACAATACTCATTAGCTAATATTCATTCGCTGTGGTGTCCGCATCAGCTAAAATAGATTTAACATTAGTTTTTCTGTTCTATATTGCCGAATTCACCTTTTCTTAACTTGACAACGAGAGAAACACTTTGAAACTTAAGGGGTATATACATTAACTGAACGAATTGAATATTATTTAGTCATAGTGTATTTTGTGTTCATCGTCTGTCTCTTTTACAACTACTACTACAGCTCAATTGATTACTAACCGAACAAGTTGGCATGGAAATGTGAGCTCTTTTTCTTCTCGTTTTTACGCCGCATCATTATTAATACGTACAGATACCATATAATACTTAACAAGAAGAAAGAGAAAAGAAAAAAAAAGATCAACATACGCGCATACAGATTGGTTTCTTATTTCTCACTTTTTTATTGGATGAAAGACACATCATAATAGAGAATTTGCTATCCAACCCCTATTTTTTTTCAAACAAAAGTTACCCGTTACTGTTCTATTTTATTCAGTCTCTCTTTCTCTCTCTTTTTCTCTTTGTGAAATATCATTTGCATTTGTAACAACAACAAATGTCCGAAAACGAGTTATTAAAAGTTTTTTTATTCTTCTTTTTCCTTGCGATTTGTTCATGTTGTACAAAATTTTTTACATGAGTTAAAGAGAAAAATAAAGAAGATTATTATTCAGTACATCGCTCGCTATATAGATAGAATAGACTCTCCTTCTATCAAATAAAAATAAATAAAATGTGAACAAAAAGAAAACATGGTGTTAAACATAGATTGAGACAGGCCATTCTGATTGTGAAAAAAAAAAACGATACACGCTGAAATTATACATGATAATTATTTAAGCATGATTTAATGGATATGAAGTAAATATGATTCTAACTTAGATGTGTGTGTGCGTCTTTGAATGAAACATGCTGTTTATGCGAGAGAGAAAGACAAAATGTAGCCAATTAGCAAGTTCAAAATTTTGACCATACAAAAGAATAAAACAAACATACTCAGGTTAAATTTCACGTATATAAAAAAAGAAGGTAAAACATTGTTGGTAGAAATAATATAATCATAACATATCATCCTATGGCGGTTACCATTTCGGTTAGTGATCATTTGTTGATCAGAAAAAAGCCCTCTAACAAAGACTATAAATCTATTTGTCTATAATTGAGAACTGCTCATGTTTGAATTCAATTAATGATATTTTTGGTTTAATACGATGTTGCTGTATTTCCTCCGTTTTCTTCCAGCAAAAACTAATTTTTTCTTTGCGTTTTTGTCCTTAAGCACTCATATTTTCGAAATCATTCCGCCGCTTCTGTTTTGTAGATAAATTAAAATATGTTTTTTTTTTCAGATGTCTAAAAACTGTGATAATCGATCATTTTTATATGATTTGCCACGAATTCCTACACGTGATAATCTTCATATAAACAAGTTTCCTAATATATCATCGTTTTCACCAACACGTGATCCCAGTGAAATATCAATGTACACACAATTGAATGTGATGCCATTTGTAAGCAAAACGTTTTATTAGTGCAAAAATCGTATCTATCATATTTCTGTCGTTTCAGTCATCAAATGGTCTATCAAAAGGCAATAATTATCGTTCTGTAATGCCAACAGTTGGGTGGATGGATCCGACTATACAACCATTTTTCTATTATAATTTAGCGTAATTAAAAATTATTATGTTATTTAATTCACTTATGTAAATGAATTTTTTTATATTTCTAGTTTAAACGATCCAAATCATAAGCGTAAAAATGCCACACGTGAAACAACAGGTAAGATAAAGAATATCAGGTGTAAGATTCCCATTCAATATTTGCACGATAAAAAGAACAGAGAAGAGAACGTATATATCATTTAGTTCGTAGAACATTGTCTTTAGAAAAAAAATTGAAAACGTGCGTAAATATTATTTTCCATAATACATGTTTTCTTGTAAAAATAAGAAGAAAAAGCATTTTAAATAAGAAAAAGTTGACAGGGTGCTTTCTATGTGTATAGATTTGCGCAAATCTATAGTCAATTTTCTTAGAGTGTAAATTATAAGAACATACAAATTTAGATATTTCAAGAGAGTTTTCTATTCCGCCTTTGAAATTTTCTTGATTTCGGTGTACTTTGAACACATGCAAAAATTCATATTCTCTGTTTACATTATGATATTTTCTAGAAGAAATTTTATGGACGTGTATTTGCACGTTCTATCGTTCTCTTCTCTTATTGGTTTAATTATTCATTTTATGATTGACTTTGTTCAAACATGATTTGTTCTGTTTTCTTACATTACCAGAACAAGAACAAGAGATCGGATTTTTTTTTTCTCATTTCTAAAACAAACCTCTACATTGACATGTGAAATGTGCATAGTTAGTTACTTGCATTTTATAATTATTACATTACATTATTATATGAAACACAACTCATTATAATGTTGATTTATTCTCTTTTATTTTGAGAGCTTTTAGGGACTGACTTTGATTCAATCTTCACTCACTTCTCTATTAATCTCTTTTTAAATCATTTATTCAGATTTTTTCTTTTAACTATGATGATGATGATCATCATCCTCACTCATTTCACACATTAACATATCTCTATTATTCTCTGTTAATGAAACAGGAAGGAATTCTTTCATAATACTTTATTTCCGATGAACGATGATGACGTCAGTGTTTTTTTATTGACATATTTTCAGTCTTCATAAATTATAATATTCGTTGAGAACTATAGAGAAAAAATTTGCATGTGTATGTTTATTGAATTTTTGTACGATGAACGTTGTGAGGCATAAAACCTAAAAAAAAGGTGCACTGCAAAATCTTCTGATGATTCAGGAATTGGATCTCATTTCTGAACCTTTAAAGGTTCGGTAGAAGAAAAGGCTTTTTTAAAAAAAAGCAATTTTCTATTTTTTCTGAGGCAGTAGACCATTCTGGCAATTTGGATGCGTTTTCAGTCAGAGGCGGCGGAATGATTTTGAAACGATGGATGTTCAAGGACAAGAACGCAAAGGAAAAATAAGTTTCTGCTGGAAAAAAGCGAAATTTTTCAAAATCTGTGAGTGCCAAAGCACCCACAACCCATGGTCCCGCCGCCTTTGTTTCCAGGATCGCAAAAATAGATGATAATTTCTTTAAATTTTGATTTCTGATCTGAAAATTATTTGAAAAAAACCTGTTGATTTTGAAAGTGAGTGCATAAATCAATCCTGCTAATTTATTCAAGTAGTTCTGCTTAGAACCTTTTCTTTTGCCGAACCAATACTGATGAGGAACTAAATACTTTCATCCAATTTTCTCCAGTGGATTTATCGAAAAATTTTCACTTGCCACGTTTTCTCTATCAAAATGTTTGATATACAAAGCTGTCCCGAGATCGCTACTATATAAAATTATTGAGAATATATCCCATTAAAACTATCATACAGAATAAGAAGATTCGGCTACGAAAAATATCACCAGATACAAAAGTATCTATGTGTGTATCATGAAAGATATTTTTTAGAACAAGTTCTACTTTCTCTGTTGATCTGACTTTTTTCCTACTAGTTATAATGACGGGAAAATCTCAAATTGTGCTCTGATTCTCTACAAGGAGCTGGAATATTGCAGTTTAAATCTTATAATCATTAATTTTAGCAACGTTGAAAGCATGGTTATACGAACATCGAAAAAATCCCTATCCAACAAAAAATGAAAAATTAATGTTGGCTGTTATAACTAAAATGACATTAACACAAGTATCAACATGGTTTGCCAATGCTCGTCGTCGATTGAAAAAAGAAAATAAATTGCACAGGACCGATGATGAACAATCAAAAAATGATGAATCTGATGTTGATATAGGTATGCGATTATTATTGATCACCAAATAACAATATTTATTTTTTTATTGTTTTTGCTTTTCAGACGATACATCCGATTCTGAAATTAACGAACAGGCAGCAGAACATTGTTTAGAACCAAAATTAAAACGATTTAAACATGATGCTGGTTATGATTATCAACCACCTACGGTATTACCATTTGCAACAACATCAACACCGAATGATGGACAATCAGCTATAACAACAGATTCGTCTTATTCATGTGATGAAAAACAGTCGAATGATAGTCTCTATGAACACAACACTTCATCTAGTCTCACAAAAAAGAAAGTAATGATACCAAAAATTGATGAAAAACTTTCTTTGAACAATCATAAACGAAAACTTGATGATAACTATGATTCTGGTCATAGTAGTTCTACGTCTATAACAGTTGCATCAACAGATATACAATCAATTATTCAACCACCACCAAACGATCCCTTACCACCAACAAAAACATCGACAATAATAACTCGTCCAAAAGGAAAAATATGGTCTCTTGTTGATGTTGTTAATGACTCGAAGGATAATCAACTACAAACGTCTCCTTCTTCGTTATCATCAACTTCATCAAATAATAATAGTAATAATAACGATTCTTCGCCTTTAATAACTCGTAATTGTACATCACTTTTACCGTTATCTAGTACATTACTAATGCATAATTCAGAAGCATCACCGCAACATCAACAATCGTATCTAAACTTTCTTAATATTCCTTACGAACTCTATTGTCCAATGCTTAATAATATACCGTCATCAACTTATAATTTAATAACTTCTTCCGAACATTGTCCAATATCACCTGTAAATGTACTAACATCAAATGTCAGACATTCACTATCACCTCAACAATCATTATCACTATCGCCATCCACATCGAGTTTGTCTCCAATATCACCATGTCATGCAACAACGTCTATGCTATCATCAAAAGTTATTTCTTCACTCGTACATACTTGAATAAATTTCTATTTTATATCTTTCAACGATTTATGTGTGCGTGTGTGTTTGTGTGTGTCTGTGTGTGTGTGTGGTTGTTTGTTTTAATATGTACATAGAGAATAAATAAAATGTATCTTCTATTCCGTTCCAAACTATCAATTAGAATCATTAGTCAATTTACAGAAATCTTTTTAGAATTTTTTCAAAGTTGTAGAAGACATTCTAAATCTATTTTTCAAAGTCTATGTCCTTCGCTAAATGATAAAAAGCCAATCAGATACGTCTATAACATTTTTCACATACACATACACAGATAAATGTCGACAATATTTTTGACTGATGAAGCGTTTAATATATCCATTAGTTCTACTCTAAACAACATTCTTTTTTCATTTTTGACTTTCAATATTATAAAAAGAATAAGTCGCCTATCTTTTTTTCTAACAAGATTTTTAAAATTGATAACAACTTGTTTTTCGAGATCAAAAAATCAAACAATCTTATTTTTTATAGGTGTTAAATATCTCTCTCAATGCACACATCATTTGACATCTCACAAGAAAAGTTCTAAAGAAAAGTTGTTAACACTGCCTCTCAACCTTATCATTGAATCGTCTCTTTATATTGAAGTGAGAATAATGTATTTAGTATTATTATTATATTGACAGTCGATGAAAAGAATATCATAACAAATAAAAATTTTCTGATTATTGGCTGCGAAAAAAAGAAAAAAGAAGACTTTTTTACGAAACCTTCGAGGTGTATTTTATTTTATTCAAATAAGTGAACAGGTTTCGATTAACTTCTTCTTCTATTTGTTGTTGTTATTGTTTTTGATTTTCAACCGCGATCATTTACATACAGTAATTGATTTAGCATAAATTTCACATTTTTTCTGATCAGTACTATTAATTATCGACCGTATGGTGTAAATCATCATCATCACTAACGTTATTGGATCGTCTTTTTCTTCTACTAAATAGAACAGCTGCCGCAACTTAGTACAGTCATAATAATGAAATAAAATTATGATACATATACATTGTAAGAGTCTACACAAGGATAAATAGAAAATAATAATTTTCAAATGATGACTGATTATTTAATTTAGAGAGAAAGTTAAAGTGTGTGTGTGTGTGTGTGTGTGTGTGTATATATATTTTGTTCGATGGCTAACTTTTACATTTTTTAAATCAGTTCTGATATTCTCATCAGTATTTGAGAATTTTGAATTTGAAAACTAAACGATCCTAATGTTCAGAGAACTAAGATGTTCAAAGAGTCTGTAGTAGATGATTCAAGCCATAGTAACAAGATTTTCGTTTGTCGTTTCATCTAAGAGCGAGTGTGAAAAAATATCTCGCAATTACTTTCGCACACTAATTTTCACTCCTATTCTTCTTATATTCTTTCAAACTACATGGATGGATAGAAATTCCACAAAAGGATGCTTTGTATTCAAATTTTTTAGAATAGTAGTGATGACAAGAAACTTGACTACTTTTTAGTAAAGAAAAGTATGTCTTATTTCATGTTTTATTTATCGAACATGTTTATTTATTTGTTGAAAGACAACTCTTTCTTTTTTTTAATATTTGATAAGTGTTGAATGAATATAATTACAATATTTTATATATCTGTACACTTATTTTGAAAAATGACAAGTGCCAAATAACATCATCGAGATTCTTCCTTTTTTTCTTTTTTCTTTTGCATATTTGCATAAAACAAAGTAACAAAATTTTGTCAAATACAACATACAAAATAGTAATCTTTACACAAAGAAAATGTATTACTTTTTTCATATGCAAATACATCTTTTTATATACGGATGACTTTCTATTTAACAACATACAACGTACAAGTAAATGCATGCTAAACTACCTTACCGATTGAAATATTCTATTTCTTTTTATTAACAAAACTGTCTTTCTATTATGTATAGTCTATAAAAGTACTGATAGTGTGTGGTACTCCATAAATCACATGAATTGTCTCATAAAAGCTAACAATAGCTTTTAATACCAAAAAACAAATTCTCCGTTTGTTTAATGGCTACATATATCTCTAACAAAAATGTTCTCTTCAACAAAATTCATTTGACAACACAGACCACTAGAATTCACAATGAGATTAAATATTGATGAGACTCTGTTAATTTGTGTGTGTGAGAATTTTTTATAAATATCTATATTAGTTAAAAATTGCAGCATTTTGCCGATTTTAAATTTATAATTGATAGTTTTCGAAAACTTCAATGAAAAAAAACAACTAGGTATGAATTTCTAATTTCTCGTTAGTTATCAATTTGATAACCATAACATTGTTGTTGAACCTGAATTGATTATGATTGGCATGATACGATTATTTTCATTGATCATTTATTTTCTTCGTTTTCTCTCTATAATTATATATGACGCTACTTTACTCTCTCTTTTTCTTTCTAACAACATGTTTTGCATTAAACAACAAGAAAGTATAGTCGACTTTGTCATTCTTTCCTCTCTTTCTCTCTCTCTCTCTCTATACACACACACACACACACACCATACATAATGGATATGTGAGAAAAGTGACGCTCATTATTAATCGGTTGTTCAATGATCACGATACATTCATTTCAATAGCCCAATTGTAAATTATATTGACATTGACAGTTATCACTTTTTATTCTTGTTCAATCATCATCTTCTCAACTAAAAAGAGAGAAAGAGGCTAAACGCGCACGTATAATCCATTTTCTAGTAAAATATTTGTTACTATATAAAAGAGTTTTCTTGTCTTCGAAAGTGTAATGTATCAAATGAAATGATGAGTCTTAAATAAGTTCATCCAAAACCGTGAAATCTTGCAAAAACTAATGTTCAATTTTCTATCTAGTTACATAGTTTATGTTAATCATAACCAACGTTATGATTAATAGTTTATGTTGATATTGTGTCAGACAAAAATCATCTTTCATATTACGTTGTCCTCAATTCTAATATCAAGAAATGTTTAATAGATTTTGTTTTCTTCTTTCATAGATATGAGAAAAGAAAAATACCAACATTTTAAAATATATGATTATTAATGAGATAACTTATTAGAAATATGACATAATCCTAGACATCAAAGATGGTAAATAAATTGTTCATATATCAATTGTGTATTGAATAGATGATAAAAATCAAATATTTGACGTATGAATGGTGCGCAAGAAATATTATATGCAGTGCTCATGCGTAAAATTGTCTATACTATTTTTTGTTTAATAGTTATTGATTACAATCATTTTATGAGTTAATTTTATTTGTTTCGATTTATTCGTCCTAAACTGTTCACGATAAACATCATGATAAATTTTTTTTTTAAACAAAAAAAAAATTTGCATAGCAAAAACGTTATATTGTCTCATGATATTGAAGTATATCTGAACAATATGAAGTAGGTTTCAAAATGATATTTTGAATGTGCAAATATTAATCCATGTTCTTTCTATAAATCATTTAATCTGATGATTATATTTCTCTAACTTAGTCGTCGGATATTTATCTAGGTAAGCAAGGTAAAGATATACGTTTAACTCAAGTTGATTGTCATAAGAATGAGTTGTGACACGCTCAAGTGATAAAAGTCATCAACTCACTATACAAATGTTTTACTTGGTATTTAAATAAGACAAGAAGAAGAAGAAGAAGAAAATAAAGAAAATATTTAAACCAAGAAAAATGAAAAGTGTGTGTGTGTGTGTGTGTATCATCTTTTAAAAATATCTTAAGGATATACTAACGTTTCATAATATGTTGAGATCAATGATAAGAATAATAAATAAAAAAAAGAAACATTTATCGATTTGAGCGTCAATATTCTGTTCTATATGTCGTTTATTATCGCTCATTTGTTTACTGTACTTAATCAAATATTAACGTTGAGATAAATGAAACATTTGAAAACTTGTAATATCAGAACTGATGTGTCTGAATTTATAGTTTTTCAAACTTCATTTTAATCGTCATAGTTTGTTTCCTATTTCACCCATGTAATAGGGATGTCCTCGAGCAAGATTACAATCACCAATACAAGTTGTTTGCTATGTTTTCTAATTATTTTTATTGATCACTCGGTTTCTTGAAACAGACACACACACACATGATACTTCATCCTGAATATATATTCTTTTGGGAAATCAAATATAAACAAGAAAAAAATGCAGCACTACTCAAAACAATACAATAAAAACTTTAGATAATAATCTAAAAATGCAACTTTCCCCCCTTTAGAAAAAGAGATCATTATAATGAATTAAATGAAGAATAATCTTAGATCATGTTTGATGATTTTAAATATCGATTAATGAATAACTCTAATTAGAAAAGACTGAATTGATTATTAAATGAGTTTTTTCGAATTGGTTAAAGCTAGAGATCTTACACAAGTTAAAAAATGTAACTCGAATCCGATTCGAATCGATAAAAGATAATCCGACCAAAAAAATGTTTAGAAAATAAGAACTTATTTTCTTAGTTTCAAATTTCTTGAACTTTTCCTGCACAGGAGTAAAACGTCAAATTTAGGTAAAAAATGCAAAATTGTACTATTCATTTAATATATTTGGGAAGTAAGTCTGAATTTTGATCAGTAGATGTGGATGTGGACTCTGATGGAAAAATATTTAGTACTCAGAATGGTCTAGTAGCAAACTTGAAAACGTACTTCATAGCAATCAAATGCGCACATGATGGTACCTATAGTAATAAGAACTTACTTAGACAACACTTTTTCTATGTATATTATAACATTTCCTTATTTTTTAATATGCGAGATTTTTTTCATCTTTTTCGTACAGAGCAACAGATACTGTTTTCTACTGGTAAAGACTATTCAGAGAAGCTTCATCATAAAAGATTGGGTCGACTAATAAGTCTCTAGCTAAAATCGATAAAGTCATTTGGAAAACTAGACGTCATGTTGTATATTTTCAAAATAAAAAATGTTTTTTCATTGTTGATTTTACTAAACATTCATTCATTCATTCA